GACGCAAAGCGTACTACGACCAAAAGGCCTCTCACGAGGAACTCCAAGTGGGAGACAGGGTCTGGTACTACACGTTTGCACCCAAAACTGGGAGAAGAGAGTCCGGGACCGGAACTCTCGCCCGTAAGCTGATGCCCAGATGGACTGGACCCCATCTGATAACCGACAAAGTGTCTCCAATTATCTACCAGATAAAAATCAGTAAAGGCCAAAAAGAGCCAACTGTTAAATGGGTACACCGTAACCAGGTTAAACAACACAAGGCGTGCAATAACTCCTCAGGAGACAAAGATCTCACAAAATCTGACCTCGTGGGAATAAGGGTCATCCAAGCAGAAGATAACTAATGGATAAGAAACTTAACCATAGTTTAAATTCACAGGACCTACCCTTGACCGTTACGAAGCTAAGACCTACCTCTTTGTGCTTCCATAGGACAATGATGGTACCACTCCTGATAATCTTCACCCTCTTGGGTGCCACCCAAGAAAACAAAGCCCTCATAATAGCGGTAAATGCGTTAGCCCTTAAGGTTGAAGCGGATTACGCTGTCGCACACCTAATGGATAGGATTTTTGCTGACATGCTTAGAGATATCAGTTCGTCGGTAGATACACTAGCCACCGGTAGGATCCCACCGTATCTAGTCTCTCTACAGATGGTGAACGACATCCTCAGCTCCGCTACGCACGAAAAAGTTACGCAAACACAGGCACACCTGGCTTACACTCTCGGTAGCGCAATCCCAATCTACGTCAATCACAAAACATTTGAAATGGCGTTCATTATCAACCTACCGATAATTCCCTCAAACGGCATATATAGACTCAGGGACGTCGTAAATGTTGGCAATTGGCACGGCGAAAACCATGTTCAAATTGACACACCAAGGATGGTTGCGTACCACGACGACAACCCCTCCGTTTACCTAGCTCCAAACCTGCAGATGTGTGTTCTCACTCGGGAGATACACTATCTGTGCCCGAGCAAACCGTTTATGTGGAATAAAACCGCGGGCATATGCGGATTAACACCTATTCCGGAAAATTCTAAGTGCTCAACGACCGTAACGCCTCGACACCTGGCTAAAGATGCAAAAGCGGAAATAATTGGCTCTCGTTGGCTAGTGAACGCTCCTCAAAGAAAGGCGATCATAGCCTACGATCAACCCGGGGCAAATAGACCTTTGGCGTTACCGGACAAAACGATGTGGATCAGTGTTCCCCAGGGAACAACCATACACATTGGTGATTTGACGCTCTACCACCTCGATCCGAAACGATGGGACGCGACTCTGGATGACTCAGAGTACCTAGGAAATATGTCTATAGACATAGATCCAGAGACTCTGGGAAGGATCCGTTTTGAAGGCACCCAAGTCGTCGACGTGGAACCAATAAACCAAGTTCTCAAGTCCCTCAGGTCTACAACTAAGAACCCGATCCAACCAATTAACTATGCGTGGTCGAGCGCGGACACATTAATCATAGCCCTGCTAATGACGATAACCCTCGTATTGTGTGGGATACTCGCATCCCTGTCCCGGGGCCAAACGTCACTCCGAGTCGACGTGGATCGCCATGCAGCGCACCTCGATATGATTATGCCTCGCGTAAGCGGGTCCGCAAAGAAGCCACTCACACGGGACAGCGCGACTGAAACTGACAACCAGGGTGAGGAGGAGCAGTGAAACGATGTTTCTAGATGCTTAGTCACTACTCTTGTCGGTGTTGAAACGTTGTTTAGTTGATTTTGGTTGTTTCAGAGGTAAGAATGTATCTTGTGTGTAAGTTAAGTTAGAGACTAAGAGGCCTTTAACCATGCCAACATGCAAGTTCATTCGCTAAATTGCAATCCTTGCGGAGTCAATGTATATTATTGTTACCTTAAGTACCATAATCTACATTGATCTCACAACGCTTAAGCCGAACCTACTCGAACAATTCTATTCGGGGGGATAGCTAATTCTTTTTGATGAGTCTCGCCATAGACTTCCAAAACATTTATGGGGAAACCAAACACCCAATCTCAAGTCGTTTGTCTACAAGACAACAGACATTTGAACCAAACTATATTTTGCCATGTAAAGCTAACTTAACCCAAGTTAGAAATGGAAAAGTAGTTTGGAACCCTTTTCTATAGGCTTAAACCCCTGTAGTACCCCTTTTCAGCATGCTCCACCCCTTAACTGGTAGTTGTAGCTGTTCCCAACCATAATAGCTTACACACCAGGTGCATATAGTTTAAGGCCTTATGTAAAATCCCCTTCATAGGCCCACCTTAAACCACATAATTGCATGACACATTGAACCAGAACGGCACAGGCTGGACGTTGCTGGAGACAACCTTCGCTGGAGGCGACCTGCAATCCTGACGTTGGTCTCCACTCTTCATCCAGTGGCCGCTTCTTCAGTTCAATCCAAGGGTACCCCTCTGTATGCTGATTAATCAACACTTCCGATCGTTGTGGATTTACCATTGTGGATTATATGACTTTTTCCAATGGATTACAGACTCTGTTTCCAAGGGGTTAAAGCATTGCTACAATGGAATTATCGAGACGATATGGAATTATAATCAACACAATGGAATTACCAAGAACATTGTGGGATTACCTTTTGACTTTTGTTTCCTTGCTGGATTACTCTTGACTCTTGTTTCTTTGCTGGATTACATCAAGCTTCAAGGACAATCGACGACGTAAGTCCATAGTTGGAATTCATCTCCATGGACAGGTGATGATTTCCAAAGGGGGGACTGTAGTGGACTAGGCCTACGTCGAAACTAAGTCTAAGGTCAAAACTCTTGACCTTTAGAACCTTGTGGGACAGGAACTGTCATTTCATGTATTTGATTACATAAATACAGGTTCACCCATCCTGAGACTTTCTTTCTTGAAGATTCAAGTGAAAAGAACACTCTCTTTTTATTATCATTACTATCTTACAAATGTTGATAATCAAAGTGTCTTAGTTCAAACCATTTTAGATGTTGCAGTGAACTAATCAATTTTATTAACTGAGTAATGGTTTTTATTCTCATGCAAAAGTTAGAACTCATGTTAAAAGCTGTTGCAGAGTAATTATGCATTTTTCTGATTTCTGCTTTTGAATGAGCAAGTGTGTGCGTTTACAAGGTTACAGTCAAACGAAAAACAAGTTGTTATGTTAAAACTGTCATGTTTTAGAATCCTCTCAGACGTAAATAGAGATGTTTTGCACCTGTTTCTTAAACACGCCACAACAAAACCCTCTCGGTCTGTGAGAACATTTCTGAGCTGTCCCATAACAATTCTCGCTGTCTCTAACCTCTTACGTCACAAAACCCACCCCGTCTGGTCGTTTCTGACCAATGAAAAATCCCAAAAAGTGAACCGGGAAAGAGTCTTTAAAATGTCAGTACTTCCTGGTCTACACAGAGTTACAGACTCAGAGAGTTGGAGAGTTGTCGGAGTTCTAAGAGTTCTGAGAGCGTAGAGTTCGGTGAGAGTCTACTCAAGTTCTGCTGAGTTCTGATGGAGTGCTGTTGGAGTTCCTGACATGACAACAAAGCTCTCCCGAGTTCCATGGGATTATAACATTTTCCACTGAGGTGAATATGTGTCGAACAGAGCCTCGCCATTACTTCGGACGAGTAACAGCATCCTACTGAGACGCTGAAAGGGTGCGTTAAACGGAATCTCACCTGAGACATCTCCAGGTAAAGGAGCCGATTTCATCACCTAAGTGTACTGTAAGGAAAAGCTGAAGAAAGCCGGAGAGTGTCGATTCTGGTGAACACTTAATTTCCCTCACATACCATCTTAACTCCCTCTAAACTTCTTTTCATCTTTAACTTTCTATCAAGTAGAAATTCTCCCAGATATTTAGAAATGTCTGTGTAAAGTGCTTACCCACATTCATGTGGGCAAAAGATCATAGTTGTACAGTTTTCATAAATGTCTTTGGTGCAGCAACGGAAAAATCATGGCCGTATGATTTTTCCTGATTGATTGCTTATATTGTTATTTTCATAATTTGCCAAATTAATGTAAATGTTTGATGTTAAATTTGATTCTGTAAATAAATGACCGCATTCATTTTGATGGGTCAAATCTAAATGACGTCTCACGTTTGCATTTCATTAAATTCAATGCACGTTTTATTCAGTCCAGAAAAATGAGGAACCCGCGTTAAATGATGAATATATCCCAGCATCTGTTCGTCTACACATACAACAACTGTTGCCAGAGTTCTTCACCTGTCTGAGCTTTATGGAAGAGTGGCAATGAGACATTACTGTTGAAAGAACTCATAATAAATCTCTACGAGAGTTGGCCGCTGAGAAGCACCTGATCAAGCAGTCTTCCCTTTGCCGTTTCGCAATTTCTAGTTGAGATTAACATGGATTAAAATTCAAACTGAACTAGTAAAATTTGATGACACAGCTGAGGGTGATCCTCAACACATAGTTCGAGCTCTAACATATTGTAGAATAGTTTACGTCATTTTCAAGGTTCAACCAAAGTGGCTCTGACGCTGTCATTTCTCAATATAAAGGATCTTAGTTTAAAACTCTGGCATGAAAGGCAGCGAATGATATAAATTCTTTCAGGGATTGCTAGACCTTTATTTATTAGTGTTGTTTAAATTTGTGCAACATATATGAACCAAAATCATCTTTTTCAAAAGTCTTATTTTGTGTTTTCTAAGGTCAGATGGCTGTGGTGACCAGCCGAACTGAGAAAACACACAGAGAGAGAGAGAGAGAGAGAGAGAGAGAGAGAGAGAGAGAGAGAGA